CGACCCAGTTGGACGGAGGTGGCGTGGCGAAGTCAAGCCGATGGCAACCTTGGCACCAGCTGGCAGCGGCATGGGATCGCCACTGGCTTCTGTGGTTGTCCGTGTCTGCGAAGTACACGTGTTGGCCACGCTCGGATAGTGTGTGAAGGAGACGATGGTCTCGGCAAACTTGATAGCATCCTCGTCGGAAGGGCTGCTGGGGAAGTGGGCGTTGTGCCAACTCTCGTCTGCGCACACCTGAAGGACGCCCTCCTACCGGGCCTCGATCGCGTAAAAGCATCCAGCTCTGCTTGCTACGCTAACATGCCTTGCCTTGCCGCCATGGGTACGGAATGGGGACCGATGAACGGGTTGTCGACTTGGCGGAGATCCGTGTAGAAGCGGTGTGTTGTGTGGTAGTCGGTGTCGTAGCTCTGAATCGTCCGTCGCCGAAAGAATTTGGTGATCACTGCTCCGCTCCCTCCAGCTTCCCATTCCATCCAAGCATCGACACACACTCATCGGACAGACTGACGGATGATGCAGATATCCATCCTCTCCCATCCCATCACCTGCTTGCTGGTCACGAGCCTGCTGTCCAGCAACTGGCCAGTCGATAAAGCCATCCACGCATACACCTCAGTCGTGGCCACGCCCCATGACGCACTCGCATCGCAGCGCTCGTCACAACTATGTACTCAGTCCGTGGCCCACATCCCCAGTACCAACCGTCCGATGACCATTTACCCCCTCACGTCATGTCGTAGCCATTGCCGCAGGCTCATCGGCGCTCCACCGCGGCCATCGCCCCGATCGCAATCAGCATCATCACAGAGACCCCCCCTGCCCACGCCCGCCGCACAGCATCCGCACTTTCCCACAACATGCCGTCCTTCTTACAGGCACACGTCCAGCAGATGTGAAAGTCGCACAACATGTAGTACCTATCGTCATCGCACCGGTTCTGGTGATTGCCGAGACAGACCACAGGCTCAAGCCGCATGGCGCTCGACCTCATCCATCCTCACGCGGGACACCAGCTTCGACATCGACCATGATCCCCATCGAT